AGTCAACCTGAAAAAAATTGCTGTGGTACTCTCAGATTTCCTATACAGAACACTCATTTGAGAAATTTCTTACCACAGTCTCTCAGAGCAATGATAATCTCTTGAATATTTTCTACTGATCATACCTAAAGATAAAAGCAATTATACATAAATATTAAAAATACCATAAAAATCACTCATACCTATCAGTAAATACATGATTGCATCCATGGAGCTTCAAAGAAACAGTTTGCTTTCATCATTGTTGAAGTATTTTTTTGTGGGAATTTGTGGAAAATACAATGGAAAACCTTCAGCAGATATCTGTAGGAAGTGACCAGAAGAAACCGGAAGTGAAATTTGGCAAAATGCTAGGTTAAGACAGTGAAAACACTGCAAATCAGAAGGAAATTTGAGATATTAAATTTTTGAAAGTATAGGCTAAAAAATAACATGTGAACTTATACATAAGATTTTTTAAATGCTCATAAAAAATATAAAGCACATTGTCTCCTTGGGAGATAATAAGACATCTTAGTAATGAGCCTGGGCTGTGCAATCAGATGGAGTTGGTTGTGACTGCTTATTATGCTACTTACAAAATGGGCAGTCTTGGGGAAGTTACCCAGTCTTACTGTTTCCTGAGCTGTAAAATGGATGAAAATTTCATATAGGTATTTAATAGGAAACTAGACACACCTAAAGAGAAAAGTGTTGAAATCGAAGAAAGACTGAAGAAATTATCCAGGCTGCAGCACAGAAAAACAAAATTATGGAAGCTGGAAAAAGAGAATAGAAAAGATCTAAAATATGTTTAAAAGAGATTCAAAAGCAGAGTTGAGATTGTAACAAAAGCAGTATTTAAAGTGACAGAAGACTTCAATCCTTTTAAAGGGTCCTATAAATCTCAAGTAGAATAGTTATTTAAAAACCACATCATGTAAGTTAGATAGAGCATCAACAACTGCAGATCACCAAAGACAATGAGAAAATCTGAAAAAAGCAGTTTGCACAAAAAAGATACATTATCTACAGAGGAATGACAGAGGGGCAGTTTGCTTCTCACCATAACACAAGTCAGCTAACAAAGGTATGATAGCTGTAATGTACTGAAATAAAATAACTATCAACCTGGAATTCTACATGCAGCAGAAATAAAAAATGAGGGCATTCCTTACAACAAGCATACACTTAAAAGTGGTTAAAATGCCAATTTTATCTTATATATATTTTACCACAACTTTAAAAAGTGTTAAATGTCACATACCAAAAACCATTTAATTATGGTGCTAACCACACTTTAAAGGGGTTAATTGTATGGAATGTGAATTGTATCACAACAAAGCTGTTTTATAAAAGAATAATAGCAGAATAAAATTTTTTCAGAGAAACAAAAACCAACAAACTTACTAGACATAAATTCTAAAGAATGAACTTTCAGAAGAAAAAAGTGGTAAAATATGTAAGTAAGCCTAATAAAGACTATATGTAATAACGTATTATGATGTTTAAAAACAATAAAATTAAAATATCTTACAACAATAATATCTAATTTAGGAGAGTGTTCTTAGTGCTTTCAAGTTCCTGAAGAGTCTGAGGAAGGTTAAAAGGTAATGACTAAACTTTGATAAATTAATATGAAAGATGTAGTTTCTAGGGGATCTGATAAGATTAGAAGTGAGATGCTTATGTTTCAAGTTAAAAGAAGAAAACATGAAATTATTTTTTAGCTTCAAACAAAGGCAAGACAGTAGAGATAAAGTATTACAAAATAGCAATAAAGATTTATACCAAAACATAAAGTAATTATATTAAGTATAATTTGTCTAAATGTTACAATTAAAAATAAAGACTATCAAATTGGCTTCTTATTTAAAAAATATTCGAATTATATGTTGCTTATAAGGAAAAAAACTAAACTGTAAGAATGCAGAAACATGGCAAACAAATGCATCACTAGAGACAGTGACATTTTGCATCACTAGAGACAGTGACATTTCACAATGGTTTTTTTAAAAAGTGAAAACAGGGAAAGATGCAGGGAGGTAGGAAAGACAGAAGTACAAAGTATATTGTATCTGTTGCTTCATAACAAATCACCCTAAGATTAAATGGCTTATGACAACAAACATTATCTATTTTCTGTGGGTCCAGATCCAGGCAGAGCTTAGCCGAGTCTCTCACAGGCTACAATCAAGGTGTCAGTGAAGGCTGCCTTCATCACAAGGCTCAACCGAGAATTCGCTTCCAACACCCACATGGCTGCTGGCAGGCGTCAGAATATCCACTTCCAAGATCACTCACACAGCTGTTGGCAGGCCTCCCATCCTTACAGCTATTCCATAGAGACTAGAGATGTCAGTTCCTTGCCTGAGGGGCCCCTCCATAGGACAGTTCACAAGAGAACAGTTGGCTTTCTTCACAGCAAGCCAGGGAGAGAGGGCAAGCAAAATGGAAGCCAGGCTCTTTGTAATCTAATCTCAAAGATGATACCCCAATCCCTTTTGCCATATGCTATTTGTTAAAAGCGTCATGAGATCCAAACCACAATCAAGGAGAGATTACACAAGAGCATAAACACTAAGACACAGGGATCATTGGGGACATTTCAGATGCTGACAACTACAGAAATGAAAAACAAAAAGTAGCACGATTGCTTATTATGTGGTAAATGCAGAAAATCCAGAAGAATCACACTAGATATTTAGAGTTAATAGGAAAGTGTAGTGAGGCTGTTGAGTACAAAAATCTGTACACAGAGATTAGTTTATATTTACATTATATAAGCAATAAAAAGAAAATGGAAATTTAAAATAACTCCATTTACAATAGGATCAAGCATTAAGGTATTTTTAAGGTTAATAATAACTGTTGATGCTAGGGAATTTTGATATGAGGCTTTTTTTTTTAAGTATCAATTATCTGCCAAGAAATCTAATAAAAAAATTGTAAACCTTTACAGAGAAATTTAAATTTCTCACTTAGTCTAAAATGGAGGGATAAACCTAGTTCATGGACTAGAAAACTTAATATTGCAAAGATAGCAATTCTCTCCAAGTAGATTTATACGTTCAATACAATCAAAATCTCAACTCTGTGTGTGCATGTGTGTGTAGCTTGATATTAAAATTTGAACAAAGGTGAAAAAAGTCCAAAAACCGTGAACTGATGAAAAAGCCATATTAATAATGCAATGTAAAACCATAATATGGAGGAGGAAATGGCAACCCACTCCAGTATTCTTGCCTGGAGAATCCCATGGACAGAGGAGCCTGGCAGGCTACAGGCTATGGGGTCGTAAGAGTCGGACACAACCGAGCGAACAAGCACAGCACACAGAACTATAATGAGATACCATCACACATTACACACTGCCAATTCACACTCTGACAACAGCAAGTTTTGGTGAGGATGGTACACTGCTTGATGGGATGCTAACTGGGGCACAACAACTTTGAAAAACTGGTTTTATCCACTCCTCAATTTCACGTGTAGGTGTGGTTATGTTTTATGATCTCTCCATAAGGATGTTATACATAACAACAAAAACAGTAATTTTAAGGGGAAAAAAAATAAAGAAAACAGAAAACAGTAACATGTATTTCCAAAGATAAGCAACAGAAGAGGAGACTGTGAGGTCAATTCTACCTTGGGGAATAAATAGAAAATAAGTAAAGTAAAAAGTCCTTACTCTTCACTCTAAACACAGTTCCAAGGTGGAAGAACAAATGCTGAAACACTAACAATTTCCCAGTACTTTCCTTACTGGCAAAACAAGGGGTACTTTTTCACCTCTGAGGGGGCAATATCAGAGTCAATTGCAAGAGGCATTCTGCTACAAAAGAACAGGGGCAGATCTCAAGTGCAAGGAAAAATCAGTCCAAACAGCAGAGCAAGCCTATAGTGAGTGTTGCTGTTTTAGCTTTTTTGGGTAATCATCCTTTAGAAGAAGCCTTCAGATGCTCTATAATTTAAGTGTACCACTATCAGCAAGAGGCCAAAGCAAAGCAAAAGAAACAGACAAATCATCTCCTATTATAAGTCTAGTACAAAAGCCCAAACTCATTTCTTACTTTATCACAGAAATAAATGATTGATATGAAAACACTGGCTAAGGCAATGATGCTTAGCGTTTGAAGATGCTCTCTGACTGACCTAAATAGATGCCAAAAAAGAAACACCAAGTACAGTAGTAAAAAGAATGGCTTTTATTTACATTCCATTTATTTTAAAAGGTTGAGGATGTTGGGGAAAATATAAAGGAAGTAGTCTCATTTTACTTAACCCATTTGTTTTTCATGAAACAACAAAGATTTTACTTAGAATCACAGGGCTAATGAGACCAAAAGAATTTATCCAGTTCAATTTTCCATCTTTAGCCAAGACTGAAATTACACCACTGTGTAGGCACATGAAAATCTACTTCACATACAAATAAACACCACTAATATGTACATCATAGAAGAACCAGCTTTCATAAAATCTGTCACAAAATCCAACAAATCTGCAATAAAAGACACAGCCACTCTAATAAAGAACATGAAGAATAGTGGTGCAACAGTGAAAAACAATTTATATACCAGAAACCACAACTGGCTATTAAGTCAATAGCATCACAGTAACAGTACCCAGTGTCTTTCTTATTCAAGTATATACAATACTTTGCAGTCATGATCATCACAGACATCAGTAACTAGGATGTACACACAAATATTTTACAAACATAATAGAAAACATCAAATTAAAAAAATGAAGATACCTTAAATTTTTAACAATTACAAATATGTTAACATCACCACTATATATAGTAGTCTCATTATTTTTAACAGATTTGTACCCTTTAAAAATAGCAGAGTTTTATAAAAATACTGATAATGGCTCAATGTTTCTTGGAGTCAGGAAATCTTTATACTTATAATTCAGTAGTCTGTGGTTTATGTGCCTCGTTCTTCCACCACCAGAGTCCTATAGCCAATCATTTACCCAAAACAACAGCAACAAGAGAGGTCTCTATCCAAGTGTTACATCCGAAAACTTCTAGTTCTTTGAAATGGTTGGAAGGGGTTTTTTAGCGCCCACATCAGCAGCTGTGGTTTTGCTTTAGGTTTTTCAGGAAATAGAAGTGCTTCACTTTCTGGTGTAGGAAATCGTTCTTGATAGACTTCAGGATATGATTTTTGAAACTAAAAAAAAAAGATCCAAGAAGAGTCAAAAAAAAAAAAGAAGACAAAAATCAATAAAATTGGGTACTGTAATTTTAAAATAAGTTTAATAATTTTAAAATAAGTTTTTGATCTAATACTTTCCTACTTTTGTTTGGTTTTAATATTTACTGCTTTTCATCAAAAGAGAGAATAAGAAGAAAACAGATCACAAGTTCTCATCAACACAAATCCATTTCTTTTTGTTAAATAAATCCCTGAATTCCACTTTCTATAGATCTGATTCATCTTTAATTTGATCTAACAGTCAAATAAATGTCTCACTTTAGTCATATCTCTTAAAATTTTTCCACTGCCAACTATAAGTAGACCTCCCTTCTAAAACAGCCACAAGTACCTCTGACTGATGCTCTACATGGTTAAAGAAAATCTTTAAAGAAAATGTTTTAAAAAAATTTCCCTATCTCCCTGCTTCTTCAACTCAGCCCCACCAGCTTCTGCCCAAATGGAAGAAAAAGCATGCTGGTATACACTATTTTACAAGAAGTTTATGAAGAAGCACTATGTATTTCCTTTGATCCTCACCACTGAACTCTTCTCCAAAATTACTCTGAGAAAAATACAATGGGAGTCGAGAAGACTCATGCCCTATGTGTGTATACATACATGCCCTACGTGTACATACATACATGCCCTATGTATACATATGTATACACACATGCCCTATGTATACATACACACATGCCCTATGCATACATACATATACACACATGCCCTATGTATACACATGTATACACACATGCCCTATGTGTACATACACACATGCCCTATGTATACACATGTATACACACATGCCCTATGTAACTCTCATGCCCTATGTATAGATGTGTATATGTATATGGTGTGATCAGAAATTTAGCTATGCAGGATTCAGCCTCTAAAAATAAATACCATTGATTTGCTCTTAAATCAATACTTTAAAAATGATGAAGATAGAATTCTGAACTAACATAACACTGTAAATCAGCTACACTTCAATTTTTTAAAAAACATCAAATTAAAGGTATTCTCAGGTGAAAACTATTTAAACTGTTGAAAACCTTGTTCTTTAATAGGAACTAAAACTTTTAGTGATGCCTGAGGCAAGAAACCAATTTGATACTGGCTATCTAAAAGAGAAGACTTTCAAAATTCTGGACATTTTACACTTGTGAATTCAGTCTGATCTGCCTTTCAAAAAAAAAGAAACTGTCCCCATTTATAGCTTCTCTGAACTTAAAGCAACTGCTCCACTAATTCATATCATCAGTTCAGTTTGGCTCAGTCGTATCCGACTCTTTGCAACCCCATGGACTGCAGCACGCCCAGCCTCCCTGTCCATCACCAACTCCCGGAGTTTACTCAAACACATGTCCATTGAGTCGGTGATGCCATCCAACCACCTCATCCTCCGTCATTCCCTTCTCCACCCACCTTTAATCTTTCCCAGCATCACGGTCTTTTCAAATGAGTCAGCTCTTTGCCTCAGGTGGCCAAAGTATTGCAGTTTCAGCTTCAACATCAGTCCTTCCAATCAACATTCAGGATTGATTTCCTTTAGGATGGACTGGTTGGATCTCCTTGAAGTCCAAGGGACTCTCAGGAGTCTTCTCCAACACCACAGTTCAAAAGCATCAATTCTTCGATGCTCATGTTTCTTTATAGTCCAACTCTCACAACCTTTTATGACTACTGGAAAAACCATAGCCTTGACTAGACGGACCTTTGTTGGCAAAGTAATGTCTCTGCTTTTTAATATGCTGTCTAGGTTGGTCATAACTTTCCTTCCAAAGAGTAAGCATCTTTTAATTTCATGGCTGCAGTCACCATCTGTGGTGATTTTGTAGCCCCCAAAAATAAAGTCTGCCACTGTTTCCACTGTTTCCCCATCTATTTGCCATGAAGTGATAGGACCGGATGCCATGATCTTAGCTTTCTGACTGTTGAGTTTTAATCAACTTTTTCACTCTCCTCTTTCACTTTCATCAAAAGACTCTTTACTTCTTTACTTTCTGCCATAAGGGTGGTGTCATCTGCATATCTGAGGTCATTGATACTTCTCCTGGCAATCTTGATTCCGCTTCATCCAGCCCAGTGTTTCTCATGATGTACTCTACATATAAGTTAAATAAGCAGGGTGACAATATACAGCCCTGACATACTCTTTTTCCTATTTGGAACTAGTCCGTCTGTCCAGTTATAACTGTTGTTTCCTGACCTGCATACAGGTTTCTCAAGAGGCAGGTCAGGTGGTCTAGTATTCCCATCTCTTTAAGAATTTTCCACAGTTTGTTGTGATCCACACAGTCAAACACTTTGGCATCATCAATAAAGCAGAAATAGACATTTTTCTGGAACTCTCTTGCTTTTTCGATGATCCAGCGGATGTTGACAATTTGATCTCAGGTTCCTCTGCCTTTTCTAAATCCAGCTTGAACATCTGGAAGTTCACAGTTCATGTACTGTTAAAGTCTGGCTTGGAAAATTTTGAGCATTACTTTACTAGTGTGTGAGATGAGTGCAATTGTGCGATAGTTTGAGCATTCTTTGGCATTGCCTTTCTTAGGGACTGGAATGAAAACAGACCTTTTCCAGTCCTGTGGCCACTGCTGAGTTTTCCAGATTTGCTGGTATATGAGTGCAGCACTTTCACAGCATCATCTTTTAGGATTTGAAATAGCTCAACTGGAATTCCATCACCCCTACTAGCTTTGTTCGTAGTGATAATTCCTAAGGCCCACTTGACTTCACATTCCAGGATGTCTGGCTCTAGGTGAGTGATCACACCATCGTGATTATCTGGGTCATGAAGATATTTTTTGTATAGTTCTTCTGTGTGTTCTTGCCACCTCTTCTTAATATCTTCTGCTTCTGTTAGGTCCATACCATTTCTGTCCTTTATTGAGCCCATCTTTGCATGAAACATTCCTTTGGTATCTCTAATTTTCTTAAAGGGATCTCTAGTCTTTCCCATTCTATTGTTTCCCTCTATTTCTTTGCACTGATCACTGAGGAAGGCTTTTTTATCTCTCCTTGCTATTCTGTGGAACTCTGCATTCAAATGGTTATATCTTTCCTTTTCTCCTTTGCTTTTCGCTTCTCTTCTTTTCACAGCTATTTGTAAGGCCTCCTCAGACAGCCATTTCGCTTTTTTACATTTCTTTTTCTTGGGGATGGTCTTAATCCCTGTCTCCTGTACAATGTCATGAACCTCCACCCACAGTTCATCAGGCACTCTATCAGATCTAGTCCTTTAAAAATATTTCTCATTTCCACTGTAGAATGGTAATGAATTTGATTTAGCTCATACCTGAACGGTCTAGTGATTTTCCCTATTTTCTTCAATTTAAGTCTAAATTTGGCAATAAGGGGTTCATGATCTGAGCCACAATCAGCTCCCGGTCTTGTTTTTGCTGACTGTATAGAGCTTCTCCACCTTTGGCTGCAAAGACTATAATTAATCTGATTTCATTGTTGACCATCTGGTGATGTCTATGTGTAGATTCTTCTCTTGTGTCGTTAGAAGAGGGTGTTTGCAGTGTGGAGGTTCTCTTGGCAAAACTCAATATTAGCCTTTGCCCTGCTTCATTCTGTAGTCCAAGGCCAAATTTGCCTGTTACTCCAGGTGTTTCTTGACTTCCTACTTTTGCATTCCAGTACCCTATAATGAAAAGGACATCTTTTTTGGGTGTTAGTTCTAGAAGGTCTTGTAGGTCTTCATAGAACCGTTCAACTTCAGCTTCTTCAGCATTACTGGTTGGGGCACAGACTTGGATTACCATGGTATTGAATAGTTTGCCTTGGAAACAAACAGAAATCATTCTGTCGTTTTTGAGGTTGCATCCAAGTACTATATTTCAGACTCTTTTGTTGACTATGATGACTATGTTGACTATGTGGGACTCTTGCCCACAGTAGTAGATATAATGGTTATCTGAGTTAAATTCACTCATTCTAGTCCATTTTAGTTCGCTGATTCCTAAAATGTCGATCTTCACTCTTGCCACCTCCTGTTTGACCACTTCCAATTTGCCTTGATTCATGGACCTAACATTCCAGGTTCTTATGCAATATTGCTCTTTACAGCATCAGACCTTGCTTCCATCACCAGTTACATCCACAACTGAGTGTTTTTGCTTTGGCCTGTCTCTTCATTCTTTCTGGAGTTATTTCTCCACTGATCTCCAGTAGCATACTGGGCACCTATCGACCTGGGGAGTTCATCTTTCAGTGTCCTATCTTTTTGCCTTTTCATACTGTTCATGGGGTTCTCAAGGCAAGAATACTGAAGTGGTTTACCATTCCCTTCTCCAGTGGACCACATTTTGTCAGAACTCTCCACCATGACCTGTCCGTCTTGGGTGACCCTACATGGCATGGTTCATAGTTTCACTGAGTTAGACAAGGCTGTGGTCCATGTGTTTAGATTGGTTAGTTTTCTGTGATTGTGGTTTCAGTCTGTCTGCCTTCTGATGGAGAAGGATAAAAAGCTTATGGAAGCTTCCTGATGGGAGAGACTGACTGAGGGGGAAATTCACTCTTGTTCTGATGAGAGGGGCCATGCTCAGTAAATCTTTAATCCGATTTCCTGTTGATGGGTGGAACTGTGTTCCCTCCCTGCTATTTACCTGGGGCCAAACTATGATGGAGGTAATGAAGATAATGGTGACCTCCTTCAAAAGGTCCCACACATGTACTGCTACACTCAGTGCCCCCAACCCTGCAGCAGGCCACCACCAACCCATGCCTCCACTGGAGACTCCTGGACACTCACAGGCAAGTTTGGGTTGGTCTCTTGTGGAGTCACTGCTCCTTTCTCCTGGGTCCTGGTGCACAAGGTTCTGTTTGTGCCTCCAAGAGTCTGTTTCCCAGTCCTGTGTAAGTTCTGGCAGCTCTATGGTGGGGTTAAGGGTGACCTCCTCCAAGAGGGCTTACAATAAATTCACATCAAACCACATGTCAAAACCAAGGACAAATATTAGAGAATAGCCTCATAAATGAGGATCTCGATAATGGTAAAAGATCTACAGTGGAGAATAAAGATCTGGAAAACTGACCACAGTTGTGTAAATTAATACATGAAATGAATAATAATACTTTCAAAACTGCTCTGTCTCAGAAGATAAGATTCATATGAAATCTCTTAAAACAGAGAATAAAAAGGAAAAAACAACATAAAAACGGTAGGGAGAAGAAATTACTTAAGAAGAATACCCCTTTACCTGCTTCAATTTTTTCTTTTTTTCTTTGCTGGAGAGTTTGGCATCTGTGATGACTTCCTCCAACAAGGCTGCCAGAGGTTCCTGGGAGCCATATGCTCTTTGGTATTCAAATTCCTCTGGGCTGATTTGACGGCAAAATGATGGAGCAGATAAAGTAATATCCATGTCAGCTCCTGGGTATTTTATCTGAGGCAAATGGATTATTAGTGAAAGTACATTTTCAAATAAATTACAAAAATTAGTTCAGATAGTACAGCATATCTCCTAAAAGGAATGCTATGATATTCAACTTGACTAGGGAAAACTGTATAAACGAAAAGTAAAAGTGTTGTGAAAATAACTCTACTACCAAATGTAATCTACAGATTCAACGCAATCCCTATCAAATTACCAATGGCAGTTTTCACAGAACTAGAACAAAAAAATCTCATAGTTCATATGGAAACACAGAGACCCCTAATAGCCAAAGCAATCTTGAGAAAGAAAAATGCAGCTGGAGAAATCAACCTTCCTGACTTCAGACTATACTACAAAGCAATAGCCATCAAAACAGTATGGTACTGGCACAAAACCAAATACAGACCAGTGGCACAAGATAGAAAGCCCAGAGATAAACCCACGTACCTAAGGGGTTCCTTACTTTTGACAAAGGAGGCAAAAATATACAATGGGGCAAAGACAGTCTCTTCAGTAAGTGGTGCTGGGAAAACTGGACAGCTACATGTAAAAGAATGAAATTAGAACACTTCCTAACACCATACACAAAGATAAACTCAAAATGGATTAAAGACCTAAATGTAAGACCAAAAACTGTAAAATTCCTAGAGGAAAACATAGGCAGAATACTCTATGACATAAATCACAGCAAGATAACTCTATGACCCACCTCCTAGAGTAACGAAAATAAAACAAAAAATAAACAAGTGGGACCTAATTAAACTTAAAAGCTTTTGCACAGCAAACTATAAACAAGGTGAAAAGACAACCCTCAGAATGAGAAAAAAAATAATAGCAAATGAAACAAGTGACAAAGAATTAATTTCAAAAGTATACAAGCAACTCATACAAGTCAATACCAGAAAAACAAGCAACCCAAACAAAAAATGGGCAAAAGACCTAAACAGAGATTTCTCCAAAGAAGACACACAGATGGCTAGTAAACACATGAAAAGATGATCAACATTGCTCGTTATTAGAGAAATACAAATCAAAACTACAATGAGATATCACCTCACACCAGTCAGAATGGCCATCATCAAAAAATCTACAAACAATAAATGCTGGAACGGGTGCGAAGAAAAGGGAACGCTCTTGCATGGTTGGTGGGCATGCAAATTGATACAGCCACTATGGAGAACAGTATGGAGGCCTTAAAAAACTAGGAATAAAACCACCATATGACCTAGCAAACTCACTATTAGGTATATACCCTGAGGACACCAAAGTTCAAAAAGACAGATGTAACCCAATGTTCATTGCAGCTCTATTTACAATAGCTGGGACATGGAAGCAATCTAGGTGTTCATCAACAGATGAATGAATAAAAAGGCTGTAATACATACATATGGTGGAGTATTACTTGGCCATTAAAAGGAACACATTTGAGTCAGTCCTAATGAGGTGGATGAACCCAGAGCCTATTATACAGAGTGCAATAAATCAGAAAGAGAAAAACAATTACCATATACTAACACATATATGGGATCTAGAAAGATGGAACTGATGCACCTATGTGCAGAGCAGCAGTGCAGGCACAGACAGAGAACAGACACGCTCACAGCTGGTGGGGGAGGAGGAGAGGTGGGAGGCATGGAGAGAGTAACGCGCAAAACAGGCAGCCAACGGGAACGTGCCATATGACTCAGGGAACTCAAACAAGCTCGGTAACAACCTAGAGGGGTAGGATGGGGAGGGAGGAGGGAGGGATGTTCAAGTAGGAGGGGACATCGGTAAACCTAGGGCTGATTCATATTGATGTTTGGTGGAAACCAATGCAATGCTGTAAAGCAATTATCTTTCAATTAAAAACAAATTTTTAAAATTAAATAAAATGAATTTGTAAAAAAGAAAAGTAAAAGTGCTTCCATAATGTCAAAAAAATTAATATAAGCCACAGTTTTAAATAAGAGTTTTTGCCTCTTTAAACCTAAAAGCCATTTTCATAAGCAAATAAACCTTGTGCCCTCTACTAATAAGATCTGAAATTTACACATAAACTAATAAACATGCTGACTAAAATGATTCCAAACACACAAGATGAACTACGCAGGTTCTTCTCACATCTGCAGAGTCTGCTCCCCACTCCCATGGGGATGGGCAGAGGTACAAGTTCTAGCCCAGATGTCGTGGACAGGAAGGTACTGCACCCATCCCATCTCCAAACACGTTCACAGTAGGAAACAAGTGAAAGCAAATGTGCAAACACTGCACAGGGCAAAAGGAAGAAGGGAGACATAGAGGGAAAAAGGCACCAGGATCTATAAGATAGAAAAATAAAAGCATGCATTAAAAATATTTAATTTCAGAGTCCAATAAGTTCATCTTCTCAAAAATATAGCACCAAAAAAAATATATATATACACACATATATGTATGTATACATACATATACATATATACATAAATGTATGTATGTGTGTGTGTGTGTGTGTGTGTATATATATATATATATATATATATATATATATATACACATGGCACCTACTGTTCTTCTGTGGTAGATAAGATTCCTACCACTACATTCACATCTTTGGTTTAAGATTTTTTTCCAGAAGCCACAGTTAAAAATAAATGTGTTGCCAAGAAGGGTTATTTCATCAAGTACATTCCATGCCTTGGCACCAGTTTACTGGGTCATTTAAACAACCCGAGAGAGAGAACAGACCCATAAGGAAAAGGGGCACACACACAACACTTAATTTTTATTTGAACCAGGAAGTCCAGAAAAAGCACCAGAAGAGCCAGAATAAATGGTGAGGCCCAAGTAAAATGTGCCAGGCTGAAGCCTAGGAAATGAGAAAAACAACAGATACCTATGCAAGAGGAAGAGGGCTACAGACGAGGCCAACAGAAAGTAGGTGTCAAAAACAATGCAGATCTCATTGCTTATCTATACCAGGGTCAACCATGAAACTGACCCAAACAATTCACCAAACAGTCCAGGTAACACTTCATTTTCAGAAAGGCACAACCCCACATGTTATATGACAGAGAGGCCTGTGTGAGAGAACAGAGATCTGTAGATTCTGAGGGCATAAACAAACAGCGTTTGGCAATTTGAGTGTGTACTCCCAAGAGAGAAAATGTAACTGGACAATCAGATAGTTATTGATTTTATTCAGGGCCATCGCTGTGCCCCTTCACAGGATCACACTGCTCTGCAGTTAAGTTCATCATCTCTCAGTCTTCTGCTCTTCGCTGACAGAGAACGGCTCACAGGGTTAAGTTCCTGCAACACCTGCCTGTGACGTGTGAACACCCAAGTCCAAGACACAGAGCAGCAGAGTCAAACTGCAGTGTTGCTTGCAGAAATGCAGTGAAAGTTATTTTTTCCTTTTTTAAAAAAAGTTTGGCTCATAAAACATCAAGGGGAGGTGGGAGATTAAACTAAAACAACAGTAAGATTACACTTTCACTCATTCAAATCCAAAGGTATGTATATTAATAAATAATACCCAAAGTAGGCAGGGGTGCAAAGAAATGAATACTTTCTTACCAACAATGGGAATGCAAACTGAAACAATCACTCCAAACAGAAATTTGACAGTATGCAATCAATGCTTAACACACATTCATGATCTTTGACCACACAATGCCATGCCTAGGAATTTATTCTTAGAAAAAAATCAGAGAAGCCAAACAAGAAAAAAACTTAGCTATAAAAAAGTTACTGTTATAATGCTTGCAAAATAGAAAAAAAAATGAAAACCATCTAAAGACTAAACCAAAGAAAAACATTTAAATAAAATACGGCATATCTCTATTATAGAATATTATATTACTAATTATAATGATACTATGGAATAATCTAACAATAATGTCAATAATAACAACAGCAGTACCAAATGAGGGCTTACTGTTTGATAAACATTATTCTAAGCACTTTATATGTCTTAAACCATTCAATCCTCAAAATACCCCCTAAGGTAGGCATTAACTATCGTTATCCCATTTTACGGATGAGAAAAGAAATGTTGAGACAGATGCTAAAGCTGAGAGACGTTATATGTGTGTGTGTGTGTCCTTAACTGCTCAGTATGTCTGACTTTTTGTGACCCTATGGACTGCAGCCCACTAGGTTCCTCTGTCCATGGGGATTCTCCAGGCAAGAATACTGGAGTGGGTTGCCATGTCCTCCTCCAGGGGATCTTCCCAACCTGGGAAGGTACGAAGGTACGAAGGATGGAACCCAGGTCTCCCACACTGCAGGTGAGTTCTTCACTGCCTGAGCCACCAGGGAAGCCCAAGAATGGGAGTGGGCAGCCTATCCCTTCTCCAGGGCGTCTTTCTGACCCAGGAATCGAACTGGGGTCTCCTGCATTGCAGGCAGGTTCTTTACCAGCCGAGCTACCAGGGAAGCCCTGAGAGACATTACGAAACATGCCACAGTCACACAGCTAATAAAGGGCACATCAGAAATTCAAGTACCGTTTAGCTTAAGTCTGTGCTCCTGGCCATTATGGGTCAATCAAGAATATTTAATGATATGGAAACTTCCCTTGCTGTATTGTTAAGAGAAAGTAGGCAACTTTCTTATAAAGTAAGTTATAAAAAAGGAATAAAAGAAGAGGCAGAAGGAAAGGAGGGAGAAAGGGAAATAGAAAAACATCTAAAAAGACTTTAACACTAACTCAACATTTAGAGTTACTCTGATATTTTGGGTGTATTTTCTATATTTTCTAAATTCTTTCAATGTATTAGGTTGGTAATTACCAAAAAATAGAAAAAAAAAACCCTTTGATTTTAATCTTAAATTGCACATTAAAAAACAGATAATTATTTAATGATACTTTGGGGAACAGCAGTTCACTGGTCCTTATTTGTGGAGCCTCAAAAGATGCTTAACGAGAAAGAGATCCAGTCATTCAGAACGAGCCAAGCAGACCTTCTGCCTGCCTTTACCCAGAGTCCCTGCCCCAGAGGCTGACATGCAAACTCTACTGTGGGGCCCACGTGATAGCAGTACATTACAGTTCTTTTGCATCATTTTAATATAGTAACCACAATGACAATAAAAACAATAAAAATAGCTACCTTTGAAAAAGTATCTACCATATGACAGACATCTGTGCCAAGGGTTTTATAATGCAGCATCTACTCTTTACAACAACTTCATAGAGTAGGTATGGACTGCTTTAACACTTGCAGAAACTGAAATCCAGAGGGGTTAAGAAACTTGCTCAGAACCAAACAATCAGGAAAGTGGGGAGCCAGTGGTCTGGCCCAGGTCCTATGGCTCTGAAGCCAAGTGAGTTCTTCTACCACTCTATGGCTTACAGTGAGGCAGTATGGCAGGGTAGTTCAGAGCACTGATTCTGGAGAATGAGTTCATCAACGTGAATCCTAGCTCTGTAACCTTGGACAAATTACCTACGTTCTCTGTGCCTCAGCCTTCTCATTCAAAAAATAGTGTCTAGGTGGCAAGGCTACTGTGAATCAAGGCATTACTCCACATAAATCACTTCCATCAGGAAGTATATGAAGAGTTTGAACAAACCCATTTAAGGAATTTGCAAATAAAAGTATGCAGCATTGATTGACACCACAAAACCTAGTGGGTATTCCATACATTTTTCAAAGACAAGAACAAACACATGCAGTGCCTACTATGTACCAAGTCCAGTTATAAGCACTTTGTACAAATTAACTGAATCTTCATTAACAAAAAATGCCAAGAAGCCTAGCAAATGTATATGACTTTTTGCAGGCAATTTTATAGCACTGGTAATATCCCTTCCTTTACCTGGACTCTTCGTAGATTGGCCACACGCTCCTCTATGGAGGTCTGCAAGGCCAAAGGGACTTTCAGAATCTCTTGGTAATTGTCCATCAGAAATGTCACCAACCTAGCAGCTAGTAAGTCATCCAAGTCCACTTCATCTTTGGAACACAAGATGCAATGGGAAAATGTCTGAACCATCTAAAAAAAAAAATGAGGTCAAGGGAGTAAATTTTTAAACAAACAGAAGATGAGGATTTTGTTTTGGTTTGGTTTTTTTACCTGCTCTGAACTTTAACTGACTAGTCAGTGAGAAATGACCCACAGCACAGGGTGCCCATCTTACCTTCACCTGGACACACCGGGTCATCTCAGATGCAGTAATCTTCTCATCAACCAACATGAACAGAATGTACCTCGCATCTCACAGGGACTTAGCAGAGATGCACGTCTGAGCAGTTTTTAAAGACACCTCCTTTTACAGAAGCTTTAAATATATATTAAACAAGTTCTGAAAATTATTATCACCATCGTGACTTGAATCCATGTAGCACTCTTAAGTTCAAAGTACTTTATAATCATTTAGCCTAATAATATCCTAATTTCATTATTATTTTACTTTAAAAAAAAAAGTCTGCCAGCACAATCTGTGTGCTTCAAACATCATAGTTTTCCCCAGTTAAGTGTTATTTTCTCCAGGATTTTGTAAGTGCATTGACAATCATCTTTGAACAAAACCATCAGAAGCGCATTAAGTAACGAAATATAAAAAATACAGCAGTTGCTTCTGTAGAATTCATTTTAACTACTCCATTCTTAATACAATCCTTTCAGTTCAGTTCAGTTGCTCAGTCGTGTCCAACTCTTTGCGACCCCATGAACCACAGCACGCCAGGCCTTCCTGTCCATTACCAACTCCCAGAGTCCACCCAAACCCATGTCCACTGAGTCAGTGATGCCATCCAACCATCTCATCCTTTGTCGACCCCTTCTCCCAATCTTTCCCAGCATCAGGGTCTTTTCAGATGAGTCAGCTCTTCGCATCAAGTGGCCAAAGTATTGGAGTTTCAGCTTCAGCATCAGTCCTACCAATGAACACCCAGGACTGATCTCCTGTAGGATGATGGATGTTTTTCCCCTTTTCCTACAAATTTTATTGCTGACAATCTTATCTCAAAACTAATAAGCATGTAAATAAGTCAGGCAGAGAAAGACAAATACTATATGATATCACTTATATGTGGAATCCAAAACATACAACTAACAAATACAACAAAAAAGAAACAGATTCACAGACACAGAGAAAAAAAATGTGTGGCTACCAGTGTGGAGAGGGAAGGAGAGAAGGGCAATGTAGCGGTAAGGGATTAAGAATTACAAACTACTATGTGTAAAATAAGCTACGAGTATATATTGTAAAGCAAAAGAAATATCACCAATATTTTATAACTCTAAAAGGACTATATATAACCTTTAAAAATTGTAAATCATACATTGTACACCTGCAACTTAAATTGTACATCAACTATACTTCAATTTTAAAAACACCAATACACATGACATTATGTAATTCTGTTTAATAAGAGTTCATTTCATCCACCTACTACAGGTGATACTTTATCTTCACTCATGTACATGCACAGAGGAAGAGACACACAAAAACACTCTTTGGGGACTCTAGACCCCAGGTATTTGGGAATGCCTTGAAACTGTATGCAAATTTTACATATACATTCTTCTGGGCAATAGGTGCAAAGACTTCTTTAGCATTTCAGAAAGGTCCATTAAGCCACCTACACATCCACCTACCCATAAAAAGTTAAGAATCACTCTTCTGGGCACTGACTGGTCCTCTGATCTTGTGCCACACCTCTGTAAGTGGGCCAGTAAACCCTCAAGCACACGCAGTGGTCCAACAGCGCATGGATAGGATGTACATGCCAATGAGACATCAATGTTGCTTCAAGATATTTTCTGAGGAAAATTTAAAACTTACTAGTAAATAATTCTAACCCTAAACCCTATTTTAAAACACACACTGACATAATAAAGGAGAAATTAAAATCAGCCTACTTTTTTAAGCAAAATTGAGAATATATTAAGAAATATCCTCACTCATGGACCCTTGGATCATGGCCTGAAAGATACACATTTTCTCTCTCTTTCCAAGTTGTCTGGCCCAACTCTATTTCATTTCTTCCTTTTTTAATCTCTGATGTATGATGCATCTATTCTACTAGTTACAGTAACAAAGGCCTTGCAGCCCTTTTCGTCCTGACGGAGAGAATATGGTTTCTTGAGAGGCCAGTAATCTTGCCTGTCTACACTTTCTTCTCTTTGTGTTGACAGCAGGCAGGATGCAGCAGCTATCTCTACACTCAGAGTCTACCCCTACTCATTCTTTACTTTTCATTATGTTCTTTAATACTTTGGCCACCTGATGTGAAGAGCTGACTCGCTGGAAAAGACTGAAGGCAAAAGAGAAGTAGACGTCAGAAGATAAGATGGTTAGATAGCATTGACAACTCAATGGACATGAATTTGAGCAAACTCCAGGAGATAGGGACAGGGGAAGCCTGGCATGCTGCAGTCCATGGGGTCACAAAGAGTCGGACATGATGAAAGGACTGAACAACAACAAATGTTCTCTAAGTCACTGAGACCAAAAGAATAATACCAGCCTGAGTGGATTTCAAGCCATGGCTCTTTAAACCAGCCCGCCTTGTACCTTCCTCTGGTTGTCAAACGAGTAAACTTGACTGGAGTGAATTTTATCCCCCAAACCCCAATCCTCTTAGATGTCAGAAATCAACCTACCAGTGTTCGGGTGCCAAAACCATCACACAGCGGTGGCATCTCCTTATTTAAGCAGATCCTTGCCATCATCCTCATCAACAGCTGTAACTTTCTCCTATTTTCAGGGGGCAGGAGGAGGCAGCAAATTTGAAAGGCTTCGATGGCCATTTTCTCTTTCTGTAACAAACCTGATTTAGGGGAGGAAAAATAAAAGGTTTTACTCCTTTAAAAACCTATAGCCTACCTGACTCTATAATGTTCCCATTTTTATAAAATATGTATTACTAAAATTAGTTCACATGTTCAATTATACTGGGCTAATTGCTACAGATCCACTGTCACAAATGAGCATAGAAAATACAAACCATAAACTAGGCATGGCAAATATACAAAACAAACACAGTCATTTTTCCCTCCCACAACTTGACAGTTAAAACTAAATTTTCATAACATTCTCTCCCATTGAATCAAGAGCAGTCAGGTTAAGCCTAATGTAACACTCAACACTCAGATAGTGTAAGAGACCCAAGACAGCATGGGCAAGAACATGAATGTGCCATCCCTGTCCTGAAGTCTCCCCTTTTGTACTATTTCCTTATGATGAGCAGGGTCACCATATTGCCTGACTCTCATGGACTAAATAACAGGACTAATGCTCTTAGGGTCATTGCACTGCCAAAGACTCTGCTTCTTTCTAAATAACACTGTCAAATAATCCTTCCTCCCAATTAAGCTATTTTTTCTAGCTAAGTGTGCTGATTCAATTGTGTTACATGTCAACCCTCCTCAGCCAGTATGATTTTGCTAAAAATTAGGGTATTCTAATACTATGTTCTCTTCAACCATATTTGTCCATCTTCAAGCCTTCTAAAGAGATGAAATTGCTTTCACCAATGTATTGGTCCATATCCAACCTTTTCAAGTTCCAACTAGTCTCTGACTTAAGAGACCAAATCACCTTTTACATTCAGCTGATATTTACCAGCCACATACAACATGCCAGGAACAATCCTAGCTCTCTTTGAAGAGCTTGTGCACTGTGAGAAGAGGAGGCCCATGAAGTAGCAAAAATATGAGGGGTGCTGCAAGAAACATCTGCAAGGGGCATATTAGGGGAACTATAAGTCACTCAACAGGACAGTAGCATAGGCTGTAAGAGTCCAATAGAAAATAAGCTAAAAAGGTCAGCAGAGATGAGATCTTGGAAGGTCTTGAATGCCAGACGAAGGACTTTAAATGTGAAGAAAAGTTAAAAAGGAAAAGGAGCTGGGGAGTGAAGGGAAGATACTCCAAGAGTTTTGGTAAAGGTTACTCTCTAATGACATCTGAACAGATTTAAAGAAAATGAGAGCAAGCCTGGTAAATATCACAGAGACAAATTTTGAAGGTAAAGGAAATAACAATTACAAAGATTATGACAAAGGAATATGTTTGGAGTGTTTGAGGAATAGCAATGAGAGTAGTGTGAAGAGAGAGCAGAGTGCAAGGAATATTCAAGTCAGAAATGAGGTAAGAGAGGAAATTTTTATGGAAACACGTTAAGACTGAATGCCTAAAACAATCTTGACAAGGAAGAACAAAGCTGGAGGTATCATATGCCCTGATTTCAAACTATACTACAAAGCTTCAGTCATCAAAACAGTATGGTACTAGCGCAAAAACAGACACACAGATCAATGGAACAGAACAGAGAGCCTAGAAATGAGCCACACTTACATGGGAAATTAATCTACAATAAAGGAGAGGGGAACACATAATGGGGAAAGACAGCCACTTCAATAACTGGTGCTGGGAAAACTGGACAACTTCATGCAAAAGAATCAAACTGGAGTACTCTCTCACATTATGCATAAAAATAAACTCAAAATGAATTAAAGATTAAAATGTGAGACCTGAACCCATAAAACTTCTAGAAGAAAATAAGCAGTATGCTCTTTGACATTAGTCTTTATTATATTCAAAGGGGTATGTCTCCAAAAAACAAAAGCAAATTAGACAAATGGGACTAGATCAAGTTAAAAGGCCTTTGCACAATGAAGAAAACTATCAACAAAATGAAAACACCAATTACTGAATCGGAGAAGATACAAAAATTAAAAAACAGAACTATCATATGGTCTTACAATTCCACTCTAGGGTATTTATCTGAATAAAACAAAAACACTAATTTATAAAAGATGCATGCTCCCCTGTTCCATTCCAGCATCAATCGAAGTGCCCATCAATAGATGAATGGATTAAGAAGGTATGTGTGTGTGTAGATACAGATATAGATATTGGGTAAGCCAAAAAGTTCCTTTGGTTTCTAAGTTAAAAGATACACTTTTCATTTTCACCAAGAACTTTATTGAACAACGTATTCACCATTTTGTTCCACTACCTTCTGCCATTTTTTTCAGGCAACACCATAATCCCATCTTTCCAAAACTTTATCTTTTGGAGCAAAGAACTGTTCCAGATGCCTTTTATAGTCTACCTACGGGAATTGAAATTTTTGCCATTAAGAGAATTTTGTAAAGACCAAAAGAAATGGAAATTCGAAGATGCAATATCTGGTGAATAAGATGGATGAATCAGAACTTCCCAGCCAAGCTGTAACAGTTTTTGCTTGGTCATCAAAGAAACAGGAAGTCTTTTGTTTTCCTGATGGAAGATTATGCATTTTCTTTTGACTAATTCTGGACAGTTTTTGTCAAGTGCTGCTTTCAGTTGGTCTAATTCAGAGCTGTACTTGCTGGAATTAATTGATTGGTTTTCCGGAAGAAGCTCATAATAAAGGATTCCCTTCCAAGCCCACCATATACACAACATGATCTTTGGAAGGCAAGAAGGGCAGCCCCTGGCGTGGTAGGTGGTGGTTCATTTCATTCACCCCATGATCTCTTCTATTCCTTATTATACAATTATAAGATTTCTTGATACAAATTAATCTGACCAAAGTAATGCATAAAAGCTTTTTACCTTGTGATTACAATCAAAAGACGAGTCACAGACTATGAAATTATATTTGTCGGACTTAAGGATTAGTACCTAGAATGGTATTTTTAGAATGACAGAAAAGAACAACCAAAAGAAAAAAAATGAGTAAAGGACAGAAAAGATATTTTACTCAAGAAGAAACCCACATGACCAATGAAAGGTAAGAAGATTCCTTTTCATACTCATCAGATTAATAAAATTAAAGGATTGGTAAGATTAACAATCAAATAGGAATATATCACTAATGGATGTGTAAACTGCTGGAACAACTCTGGAAAGCAATTGGCTAGAACCAATAAAGACATGAATATCAAACAACTTAGTGATTCTGCTTCAAGGTACAGAGAAATACGTGGGTATCTTTGCAGCCTTGCAAAATGTACTGGGTCAGGGTGGCAGGCACATGGATGTCTATTATACCACAAACAGTACTTCCAAACAGTACTTTTGGTGAAAATTCAGAAGTGAAATTGCAGGGTTACTTTCTTTTTGCTGTGCTGGGTCTTTGTTGTGGTGCATAGGTTTCTCGTTGCAGTCACTTCTCTTGCTGCAGAGCTTGGGCTCCAGGGCACACTGCAGTAGCTGCAGCTGGTGGGCACAAAAGTTGCAGAATGCAGGCTCAGTAGCTGCAGCTTATGGGCTTTGTTGCCCCGCAGCATGTGGACTTCTCCCAGAGCAGTGACTGAACCCGAGTCCCCTGCATTGGCAGGCAGATTCTTCACTGGACTTCACTGGACCACCATGGAATCCTGCAGGGTTACTTTTTAAAGTGCTATTTGAGAATGTTGTTTTCTTTCTATGAACAATAACACGAATAACAATGAGTACATTTAGCACTAGATCTTGGCTTATAAGTATCATTCTCTACAAAAAGAAACCAAGAATTTTTAAAGAAATGGCTGATTCCAGGGTTGGTGACAGAAAGTAAAAGTTGGTCCTGTAGTGGTAAAAATAAAGTGCTTCAAGAATGTCCCCCTCCTCCGGGGGATCTCCCTGACCCAAGGATCGAACCCAAATCTACTGGGTCTCATGGATTGCAGGCAGATTCTTTACTGTGTAGGACACCAGGGAAGTCCTGTAATTAGACTACTTGATATTATCCTATATGTCATGGGGCTGTGTTCAGTTTAATTCTCTCTACTCCCAGTCTTTTTAACTCCTGAAGTCCAATTTAGTTCTTTCTTCTTTGTTCTTTTTTTATGAGATTATCTTTTTTTAACAAAAACACATATACAATACAATGCGTTTTGGTATATCCACTAAATTATGCCCATTACCACCAACTGAATTGTAGAATGTTTTTGTCACTGCAAAAAGAAATCTCCATACCTATTAGCAGTCACTCCTCATTTTCTCCTCCCCTCAGTCCCTGAAAGCCACTAATCTCTGTCTCTATAGATTTGCCTGTTCTGAATATTTCATATAAATGCAATCACACAATATGTGATTTTTTGGGTCTGGCTTTTTTCATTGAGAATAATGTCTTCAAGATTCACCCACATTGTAGCATGTAACAGTATTTCATTCCTTTTGAAGGCTCAACAATATGCCATTATATAAATATACTTCTTTTTCTGCATTTATCATTTGATGGACTTTTTTTTTTTTTTTTACTATTCTGAGTAATGCTGCCATGAACATTCATGTACAAGATGTAGTGACATATACTTTCAATTGCCTTGGGTATATGCCTAAGGGCAAAGCTGCTGAATCACATGGTAACTCTATGATTACCTTTTTAAGGAGCTGCAGAACTGTCTTACAAAATGGCTCTGCCATTTTATACTCCCACCTGTAATATATGACGGTTGCAATTTCTCTACATTCTCATTAATACTTGTTAACCACCTTTTTTATACAGCCATCCTAGTGGGTGTTAAGTGGTGTCTCATTGCGGTTATGATTTGCCCTGTTTTGAGGACGAGCACCCTAGAGATACCCAGCTTAGTGTGTATTCAGCAACAGATTCAAGCAGATTCCCATGCAGGGCTGTGGAGCTTTTTCTCTATATAATTGCTTTATACTAGTTTGCTAGTGCTGCCATAACAATATATCACAGACTGGGTGGCTTAAACAACAGAATTTTTTCTCTCTCAGTTTTGGAGGCTAGAAACTATGATCAAGGCTTCAGTAGGTTTGGTTTCTCCTGAGGCTTCTCTCTATGGCTTACAGATGACTGCTTTCTTGTCCTGACCTCCATGTCATCCCA